CGGTGCTGTGTGTTTGTTGGGGGGCAATGTGGTTTATAGGAGGTTGTTGGGGGCGTGGAGTGGGAGTGAGTCTGTTCGGCATGCTGTACGCTACTCGGATGTATTTAATTTTCTGATTAAATTTCTCTTTAGAGATCAGAGGATGACGCAGGATGTGGAGCGGCTGTGCCGGGAACTCACCAATCTTGCCACTAAAATTCTAACCACTCCCTTCACATTGATCTACTACTCCTATCATTGTGCCATCAGGTCAGTCTACTACTCCTATCATTGTGCCATCAGGTCAGTCCACTACTCCTATCAGTGTGCCATCAGGTCAGTCCACTACTCCTATCAGTGTGCCATCAGGTCAGTCCACTACTCCTATCAGTGTGCCATCAGGTCAGTCCACTACTCCTATCAGTGTGCCATCAGGTCAGTCCACTACTCCTATCAGTGTGCCATCAGGTCAGTCCACTACTCCTATCAGTGTGCCATCAGGTCAGTCCACTACTCCTATCAGTGTGCCATCAGGTCAGTCCACTACTCCTATCAGTGTGCCATCAGGTCAGTCCACTACTCCTATCATTGTGCCATCAGGTCAGTCCACTACTCCTATCAGTGTGCCATCAGGTCAGTCCACTACTCCTATCATTGTGCCATCAGGTCAGTCTACTACTCCTATCATTGTGCCATCAGGTCAGTCTACTACTCCTATCATTGTGCCATCAGGTCAGTCTACTACTCCTATCATTGTGCCATCAGGTCAGTCTACTACTCCTATCATTGTGCCATCAGGTCAGTCCACTACTCCTATCAGTGTGCCATCAGGTCAGTCCACTACTCCTATCATTGTGCCATCAGGTCAGTCCACTACTCCTATCAGTGTGCCATCAGGTCAGTCCACTACTCCTATCATTGTGCCATCAGGTCAGTCTACTACTCCTATCATTGTGCCATCAGGTCAGTCTACTACTCCTATCATTGTGCCATCAGGTCAGTCTACTACTCCTATCATTGTGCCATCAGGTCAGTCTACTACTCCTATCATTGTGCCATCAGGTCAGTCTACTACTCCTATCATTGTGCCATCAGGTCAGTCTACTACTCCTATCATTGTGCCATCAGGTCAGTCTACTACTCCTATCATTGTGCCATCAGGTCAGTCTACTACTCCTATCATTGTGCCATCAGGTCAGTCTACTACTCCTATCATTGTGCCATCAGGTCAGTCTACTACTCCTATCATTGTGCCATCAGGTCAGTCTACTACTCCTATCATTGTGCCATCAGGTCAGTCTACTACTCCTATCATTGTGCCATCAGGTCAGTCTACTACTCCTATCATTGTGCCATCAGGTCAGTCTACTACTCCTATCATTGTGCCATCAGGTCAGTCTACTACTCCTATCATTGTGCCATCAGGTCAGTCTACTACTCCTATCATTGTGCCATCAGGTCAGTCTACTACTCCTATCATTGTGCCATCAGGTCAGTCTACTACTCCTATCATTGTGCCATCAGGTCAGTCTACTACTCCTATCATTGTGCCATCAGGTCAGTCTACTACTCCTATCATTGTGCCATCAGGTCAGTCTACTACTCCTATCATTGTGCCATCAGGTCAGTCTACTACTCCTATCATTGTGCCATCAGGTCAGTCTACTACTCCTATCATTGTGCCATCAGGTCAGTCTACTACTCCTATCATTGTGCCATCAGGTCAGTCTACTACTCCTATCATTGTGCCATCAGGTCAGTCTACTACTCCTATCATTGTGCCATCAGGTCAGTCTACTACTCCTATCATTGTGCCATCAGGTCAGTCTACTACTCCTATCATTGTGCCATCAGGTCAGTCTACTACTCCTATCATTGTGCCATCAGGTCAGTCTACTACTCCTATCATTGTGCCATCAGGTCAGTCTACTACTCCTATCATTGTGCCATCAGGTCAGTCTACTACTCCTATCATTGTGCCATCAGGTCAGTCCACTACTCCTATCATTGTGCCATCAGGTCAGTCTACTACTCCTATCATCAGGTCAGTCTACTACTCCTATCGTTGTGCCATGCTGTGTATGTGTGCTGTTTTGGCTAACGTTACTGAGAAATCTGATATCCCAGAAATTAAAGTTCCCTTTGATAGTTTGTGTCTCTGCCCCTCCCACAATGGTGAGATTTCCCTCCAGTAGTTTGTGTCTCTGCCCCTCCCACAATGGTGAGATTTCCCTCCAGTAGTTTGTGTCTCTGCTCCTCCCACAATGGTGAGATTTCCCCCAGTAGTTTGTGTCTCTGCCCCTCCCACAATGGTGAGATTTCCTCCAGTAGTTTGTGTCTCTGCCCCTCCCACAATGGTGAGATTTCCTCCAGTAGTTTGTGTCTCTGCCCCTCCCACAATGGTGAGATTCCTCCAGTAGTTGTGTCTCTGCCCCTCCCACAATGGTGAGATTCCTCCAGTAGTTGTGTCTCTGCCCCTCCCACAATGGTGAGATTCCTCCAGTAGTTGTGTCTCTGCCCCTCCCACAGTGGGAGGGCAGTGTGTTGTGCGGTGTGTCGGGTGGCGCGGTGTGTGATGTCCTCTCGTTCTGTGTTCGCAGTACTGGCTGGGTGGGTCCTGTGTCCATCTTCGGATATTTTCTTATCGGATCTCTGCTGAATAAAATTCTGATGGGTCCGGTTATCCCCAAACTGGTTGAGCAGGAGAAGTTGGAAGGTGATTTCCGGTAAGTGTGGAGGCGTTCCTGCCTGGCGGGGGAGGGGTTCTTTATTGGGGTCACCCCAGTAATGTCCTGTCACCCCAGTAATGTCCGGTCACCCCAGTAATGTCCGGTCACCCCAGTAATGTCCGCTCACCCCAGTAATGTCCGCTCACCCCAGTAATGTCCGGTCACCCCAGTAATGTCTGGTCACCCCAGTAATGTCTGGTCACCCCAGTAACGTCCGCTCACCCCAGTAACGTCCGGTCACCCCAGTAACGTCCGGTCACCCCAGTAACGTCCGGTCACCCCAGTAACATCCGGTCACCCTTCTTTGTTCTCTCCGGCAGGTTCAAGCATGTACAGATCCGGGTCAATGCCGAAGCTGCAGCTTTCTCCAGGTCAGCGTTCTGGATCATCTGAAGTGGAGCTTCTATCTTCACCAGCCAATCGGAATGCCGGGAATGAATCCTGTATTCTGATTGGTCACTCCACTTGTTGGATATATAGACAGGAAGGAGGAGCTGAGGGGTGTGATAAAAACACAGGACTCCACCCTCTAGCCCCATATGTCATGTGACCCTGTCTCCATCACTCCCCTGTCCCTGTGTGTCATGTGACACTGTCTCCATCGCTCCCCTGTCCCTGTGTGTCTGTTACCCTGTCTCCATCTCTCCCCTGTCCCTGTGTGTCTGTTACCCTGTCTCCATCGCTCCCCTGTCCCTGTGTGTCTGTTACCCTGTCTCCATCTCTCCCCTGTCCCTGTGTGTCTGTTACCCTGTCTCCATCTCTCCCCTGCCCCTGTGTGTCTGTTACCCTGTCTCCATCGCTCCCCTGTCCCTGTGTGTCTGTTACCCTGTCTCCATCTCTCCCCTGTCCCTGTGTGTCTGTTACCCTGTCTCCATCGCTCCCCTGTCCCTGTGTGTCTGTTACCCTGTCTCCATCTCTCCCCTGTCCCTGTGTGTCTGTTACCCTGTCTCCATCTCTCCCCTGTCCCTGTGTGTCTGTTACCCTGTCTCCATCGCTCCGCTGTCCCTGTGTGTCATGTTACCCTGTCTCCATCGCTCCCCTGTCCCCGTGTGTCATGTGACTCTGTCTCCATCACTCCCCTGTCCCTGTGTGTCATGTGACTCTGTCTCCATCGCTCCCCTGTCCCTGTGTGTCATGTGACTCTGTCTCCATCACTCCTCCGTCCCTGTGTGTCATGTGACTCTGTCTCCATCGCTCCTCTGTCCCCCTGTGTCATGTGACTCTGTCTCCATCGCTCCTCTGTCCCCGTGTGTCATGTGACTCTGTCTCCATCGCTCCTCTGTACCCGTGTGTCATGTGACTGTCATCCCTCCCGATATTCATGTATAATAAAGTGCGGAGCTCCGTGTAACGTGATGTCGTTGTGTTCCAGAGCCGGCTGTGTGGAATACTCCAGGACGGAGCGCCGCCTAAAGAGTCTTATTGGCACCCAGAAGGAGCTGATGTACCAGGAACTATGGCTGTCCTGT